TCTGAAATTATAAACGGATTCTGCAGGTAGACCTACGGGCAATGAACTGCACATATTCGTTAGCAAGTCCATCCAACCTGAATACCTAATGGCCCAGGGATACGGTACAAAATTATCGAAACTTAGTTATACATGAAGTAAACTTTATACAAGTTTAAGTTATTAAATAAAATAAATTGGATTAATATAAAACATATTATCATTCATAGGATAACCAAGGGCGGCAATATGACTGAGAAAAACCACATAACCATCGCTTGTGATTTATTTAACGACTCTCTAAGTAGCTCAGACTACTTTAACGTCCAAATATGGGCTGTATAGATGAATATGATAGAAACAGATCGTGGCCTCTTTTAAGATACCTCGGCATTTGCCTGGAAGGACTGATTGAAACCACGAAAACCCTCAGGCTAACCGGTATCCGGACCGATATTTGAACCCTAGACTATCCGACTATGAAGCAAGAGTTTTGATTAATCAATCGTTACATTCGATTCAATGTGGTTTCGTCTTATGCTCAAAACTCAGGTATGAAAACCTTCAGAGCTCACAGTCATTAAATAACACCCGAGGAGAAGATTTTTTTAAAGTTCAGGACGTAAATAGGTCAGGCTTTGATCTTATAGGCCACTATATATCAGACCTGATGTGACACCATGAGGAAGGCGTTAAAAAGCTGTTTTATGCAGAATGGAAAATGTTCAAGGAGGAATTTAGGGCTTAATTTCTCTACGTTTTTTATATTACATAAATTAAGCAGGCGTGAAAAAGTGCAGTCCAATAGAGTACACACGTTTCCCAAATGCGTTTCTTTTTTGCGATTCTGCAAACTCGAATAGTCTTAATGACTTTACAGCATATAACATTCTCTAAGTTAATTTTTATGAAGAATGTAATATAATAGTATAGTGGCAGCTGGAATCCTATAATTACCTACATTTTGTCGATAGATGAAACTAAACACAGGTATGTGAAAGCCTATACGTTGATTAAATTAATTAATTATGACTTTAAACAGAATGTGTGTGACAATAAAATGTTCATTAGGGTGGAATATGGAAGAATAATATTATGTATTATTTTAAAACACTTTCTGAAATTTTAGTATCGATTAAAACGACGAACGATTTTAGGACATTCGATACTCGACTCAACTTTGAAACGATTACTTCCGAGTAAAAATCACATACTTCAAAACTATGCTAACCTAATACACTTTAAGGACGGATTAAAATAGAACTCGGGGGGGGGGGGTGTTACAAGGCGTCAGTCTGAAGACAAGTATAAAATGTCATGCTTCTAGACCTCAACTTTAAATTCTTACTACATCTCATGCAGTAAATTTGCTGAGGCATTTTGGGATAACTAAACGTACACAGAAAATGGCAAGGCTTTGACTAGAACTGCTAATAATATCGATGGCATCATGCCAAAAGGGCGTGTCAACAAAATGACTTAGCTTATTTGGTTTGATAAATGTGCATTCAAAGCGTTCGTATGCCCAAATGTAGCTGCCTGCATCTCTGTGTAGAATATTATGCTCTTCTGGCATGACACACACCCCACTTTTTTATGTTGTTAGACCACATATCTTCGATTATGCAAATAACTTCATACGACCTTCTGGCATGATTCTCTCAATATTTTATACCGTTTTTAAATTTGTATTTTCAGACTAGTTCGGAAATTTTGCGTGCCTGACATTTGACATTTCTGCATGCGAAGTCAGCCCAATGATTAAATTCGTACCCTATTCGATTAGTTTGTGTAGCATAGCATACTCAATGGTTGTAGTAGTTCAGACCCATATCAAATGTCCTAACTCATAAAACCATACTCAAGTTACATTTCTTCAATGGTCACATACACCTACACAGAATAACGTGGGAGTTGTTCATAGACTTCTGAACATTGTTCGATAATTCAACGTTGCTCTTTCAATAAAAATAACAAATTAAACCCGTAGGTCCTATTTTTCATAAAACCTATGCCAAAGTGTTGAAACACAAATGAAATTTAAAATTAATTGAATTTAATAGGCATTTTTGTTATTTAGGTGTATCAGACTTGTGATTTAACACCAAATCCTTGGAGCACTTTTATTGAGTTTCAGTAATCTTTTTATATACTGAAATACAACAGGAATAATTTCAATTTCGCACATCATCTTTCCTTCCTTCCTTCCTTCCTTGTCTACAGGTGTTCACGAAGGTGAGTATGAAGATGGCAGCCTTCTGGGTTTCTGTGCTGTGCAGTCTCGTTCAGGGGCACATATTCCATTAACAGCGTGATGAGGGTCCTGATGATAAAGGCAGTAAAAACCTCCGAAATGTCGATGCACTTTCATCAGACTACAAGGCGGCACATACCACATCCCCATCTTCAAACTCGCCGCCATGAGAACCTTAAGTATTGTTTCTAACAATACTGTTAGTACAAGTCCTTATTATTCTGTCAAGTTCTGAGTGATCTCAAGACGTGGTATTAACCATATGCACCACAATGGAAAGATAAATTTCATATATCGAACAAATGTAACTGACCTGGCACGTGACTTAGTCTTTCAAAAACCACGAAATAACTTAGAAAGACAGGTAAAATCAATAAACTACTACTACTACTATGGCGTAACAGCCCAAAATCGAGCCCTAGCCTCCTCAAAATCAATAAACTATCAATAAAAAATCTCAAAAAATACACTCTTGAAATTTTATGTT